CTTTTGCTGCAATTTAAGTTTTGACTGGCTCGTCTTGATTTCATTTTGAAGTTATTCCCCATCCCGCCGATCGTCGTCCTGCAACTCTCAAATGCAAAAACTTTGCTAATGCAGACCAGCCCTGTAAGTTGGGCAAAAGTCAATCGGCAAATGCATTTCTGATATCAAGCATGGACTGTCTCAGCCCCATCTGCATACACCATTCTCAGGCCAATGCTAAAAACTAGAATAAAGTTACAATTAAAAGTTCTTTGGATCCGTTTTACAAGCGCATTAATTCTGTGCAACGCATAACTAATGATTTAATTTCTCCTGCCGGTTTGCCGGGCCTGTTTTGCCATCATTAGCAACTTAAAAATGATTATTTGCAATGCAAATTCAGTTGGAGAAAAAGGGAGTCTAGAGAATATGAAATGTGTGCCATCTGCATGAGAAATGCAGCAATTATGCGAGATTGAGAGACAGAGAAAAAGGCTGAATTTAAGCTTAAGTTGGGTATGAAAAAAGGATATAAGGCAGGGGTTTTAAAGAGAACAGGTCTCATTAGACCTCTGAGGTGCCAAATATTCACACACTTTTCGCAACACACTCACAACAAGCGCTCCCCAGATGATCTCTGGGATAACTTTTTCTATAAACGTAATAATGACCTCGCCATAATAGACAGCAACTAGACGCAATCCCCACAAAAATTGAAATACAGCTCCCAGTGCACACATTTTTCCCAGCCAGCTGGGGGGGAAAATCTGTAGAGGGAATGTGGGGAAAGGGGGGAAAGGTCCTGGGAAATGGTGGCCAGGACGCTGTAGCATTTTTCACTGCCTACATCGCGGCGAGGCGGCCATAATGTCATTTAATTAAACGCCAGAGAGCAGTTGCCCGGGCCTCCTGGCTGTTGTTTGCTGCTCTGTTACTTGTGTTCCATTTCTCGTTTTTTTGGGGGGATTTCTGGTTACTTGTGCGGGGTCAACAGAGGCAGCTAAACGGTTAACCAAAGTTAGCGGGAAGCCGGCTTCACATAATTTGGCCAAAAGAGGAGGCCAAGGACCAGCAATTTATGTTCATTTGCATAGATATTAAAAATTGTTAGGAAGTCATTAGTAGGCATCAGTCAAATGACGCAGCCTGCATATAAATTAAGCATAATTTTATTAGGCCAACTCCCCGGGAAGGTCAACCCACTTGACAAATGTCCACGGGGGCAAACTCCTGGCTTTCGAAAAAAAAGAAGAGAAAAACGTGTGCTTGTTGTCGTATTAATTATTAGTTTTAATTGCGTTTTGTTTGGGTGGGCCTCTGTTTCTTTTTTTTTGTGTTAACCAAATAAGTTATTCATCCCCCTAAAAAAAGTAGTGGGGTAAATCTCGTTTATCCCTGAACAAACCCACACGCCTATATATATTCCCCCGTTTGACTTTGCCATTTGGCACAAGGACGTAGCAACGGCTCGAATAACCCCAAAAATTGTGTGCAATTAAATACTTTAAACCATAATGTATTTTTCACAAGTTGAGCAATGTTGACCATTTGGTTGCGGATGTGGTTGATGCCCCTATTCGCCTCCCGCAACCCTGCTGTTCAGTGTAAATTACATGCACAAGAGGCCAACAAAGAAAACTCATTTGTATTCCGAGACCCGAGGACCCCCAGCCCTTAACCCCACACTGACCAACGCCCGCAAGTCAAAAGCTCAACCACAAGCAATTTTATTATTTTTCCTTCGGTTATTTTTTTGCTGCTGGTTTTAAACACATCCAGAGAGATAACTAATTCGAGTTGCGTCTGCTGTTTGCTTATCAAAAATTTTAATTGCTTTCTTTTTTGGAGGTTTTTTGCCTGCCTTGGAGATTTGGTGCCGCCGCGGCTTATCTATTTATTATGTGTTGTGTGGATTTGTTTGGCCAACTGTTCGATCTGGGCTTCCTTTTTGGCCGAATCCGCCAGGGAGACTTGGCGCCATCACAGCGCTCACGTTCGAGCTCCGGCTCCTCCGTTTCCATTTCCACTCCCACTTCCGTTTCCGCTCCGATATTAAATGGTGCGCGTAATTAGATTTTAAATTTATTGTTCTGTGTGCTGGTATTTATTTTGTCTGCCTTGGTGTGCATAACAATGCAATGGCTGCAATAAATAAATAAACAAAACGTGAATGTGAATTCAATGGCGCGGCATCTGAGTCCGTATTTGTGTAGGGATATAGGGATAGCCGGGCCTCCGGGGAGTCACCGGATGGGATCTCTACAGACTAAAAGCACACCTCAAAATAACAGGAATAATATTTATTTTTAAACGAAAAACACGCTAGAAACATATACTTACGATATTTAACATTCTAAAATCTTGAGTAATGTTATTAGAGTGTTTAAAACAATTTGTGAATTTAAATATTTTTCTTTGAGTTAAGAAAAGTATAATGTAACCAACATATATAATATAATTTATTAAGGATAACCTTAGCATCTTTTAAATGTTCAAAATAATTTATTTCTTTTAAAAATGTTTTTTTTTTATGAGCATAAACAATACAATGGTTTCATATAATTTATAAAAATGTATCTGCTTGATTGAGTCAACCTTGTAAAATATATAGGTACTTAATAAAATGAGGACATATATTTCCCATTAGATTTTCTTTTGCCAAGTGTAATGGCAGCTGTGGCGCCGGGCCAAAATTGTTGCTCCCACCAGTAAATTGAATTTGAAATCGATTACCTGATTGATGCTGCAAATCTCTCGGCCCATTCATTGGTTAAAGTACACTTCAAACATGAGCAGATTTAAGAGTTAATCATGGGGCATCGGACAGATTGCATCTGCACTCAGGCGGACAAATCCCGGCCCCCTTTTCGACTAATTTATGGCTCATCTTTGCCGAGCTCCTGCCGCAAAACTGCGGCCATCCGGCGACCGATTCATGGACTGTCATCCTGACCGCAGACAAGTGGCACCACAGACAAGATACTGAGGCACTGGAACATGGAGAGCTGCCATCGGGACATCCACCAAATGGACAGATGGACAGTTGGACAGGTGGACATATGGACAAGGCAAGCCTTTAAATGTACATAAATTTTCGGGATGGCGGCGTGAGTAATGAGCGCTTAATAAGGCGCCATTGGCATATTTTTAAGTTCCGGATGGAACGGAACGCAGTGCATGTTTCATAATTTACATATTGCGAAAATATTTGTGCTCATTAAATATGCGCAAAATAAATGCGAACGTGCGACTGCAGCTGAAACTGTTGGTGGTTGGCTTGTTTGCAAATTTCATAAATCACCGCTGTTAAAAACGTTGCCATTGCTTTTGCTGTTGCTGATGATGATGAGTTGTCTGTTGTAGCCGGTGGCAATATCAACTGGCGTATCCTGTGAAAGGCAAACCGTTTGGGGCCCGGGGTGAAAGGAGGTGCTCGACCATCTGCCTCGCCTTGTTTACACATGTTCAAAACGCAAATGAGCCGTAAAGCGCTGATAATGCAACAAACTGACAATTGACGATTCGACACAGTCCACCCAATGCCACCCACGCCAGATACTTTAATAATTCCATACAGAAATTATGTTTAAATCAAATGTATCTTAGGTTTCCAAAGGAAAGGCAACCGATAGAAGTTCAGCAATAGAAATTACACTCTACTCAATTTAATCTTCGAAATATCTTTCAATTTTGTAGGTACCAAAAACATTGTCTGATAACGTTAACTTTAAATAACAAAAGATTAAGATACTTTAAGATTAGGGTACTTTTTTAAGGAATTGACAAATATCTTGACATAATTTCTACGACACCTACATTGTTTTCCGATAAATTCCGAATGAACCAGGTCAACTTCCAGATTGACTTCCATTTGATATGATTTTTCCGAAGTACACCTGACTTCTGATTCAGGTTTCTGGGCCATCGGCTTATTGTTTTCCGTCTCTGGACCTCAATGTTATTTCTCTGTTTTTTTTCTGCCAGGGCTGATAGAGTCATTCCATCCTTGAGCTCCTGTCTATATCAGTTGGCCCCCGTCCTGTCGGCAGCATTAAAAAATACGCCAATAACATGGCCAACTCGCTGGCAGGCCAAATGATGCGTTCTCGTTTCAGATGCGAATCAAAATGAGCCGGCTGCCAGGAGAGATAGCTCATGCATGTCGGCAGTGGGCGGGACGGACCGCGCCCACTTTTGGACAATGGCGCGAAATGTGTAACGGAAACCACAGTTGAGTGCACGGCAGTGGATGAGGGATCGAAGGATTGAGTCCAAGTCCGGACTCGAACTCCGACCCGGATCCGGGTGCCGGTCCCGTAATGCGGACAATAAAATTTTAACGTAAATGTTGCGTAATTAAATGTGCTCGCCGCACGGCAGCGTAAAACGAGATTGAGATTGTTTTTCCTCCGTATTGACCGGCAAACAAAGAAGAGATGAAAGATATGCCAGTCGGCTGTGCGGACCGTTTCGAATCTGTTTAAAGAACACACAGCATAACTCAGAACTTATTGAGGTTAATGGAAGTGGAGCTGGGTAGCACTGAAGTAAAATTACGATAATATATTGCAAGAGTGCTTTCCGGTCAGGTTAAAAATGTTGGCTTTCTTCAAGACTTTCATGTGGTTTTGCGCTTTTAAACTCGAGATTTTCAATGGCGTTTAAAGGAATCAGAATGGGTTTTACACATTTATTTCAATTTTTCAGGTACTTTTAAAATTTATGGTTGGTTGCGTTGGAGATGTCAAGGTCTCACCAAGAACCCACCCCATTCGACGAGTCTAAGCCGGAACTATGGTGCCCTAACATCGGAAGCATCTCCCTCACTGATTTGGCCAAGTAACACATTTATTTTACTACAAAGTGCAAATTTAAATGGAATTAATTGAATACAAAAGTCAAATGAAAATATCACAAATAACTTATCAATTAATATGAAAATATTTGTGTTAATTGCCGCCGAGGCCACTTATATTAATTTGACCGCAGCCATTGGAATTTACACTTTGCCCCAAGTTCTTTCCTAATTAAAGTCCTTGTTACGTAATCCTTCATTGGCGTGACCGAACTGCTGGCATACTTTTGAGCGCCGTGGCGGTAACCGCAGAATGCGCTGTGGTCGAAGGAGCACAAGTTGCCGACGTCGCCATATCGATTAAGCCATCAAAACTTCGACCGCTTATTAATGCGCGTACATCAGCGCTAAAGTGCGGTCATAATTCAAATGAGGCGCCCCCAGTTCTTGGCTTTTGGAGGGCGGCAAATCGAGTCTCGGATCAATTGTTTGGCCAGCAGCGATGAGGGAAGTGAATCTGCTCAACCGCTTCACTCGGTATTTCCTGTTTCTCATCGTGCTGGTGACCCAGATCTGTGGGGTCACCACTTTCGTCTACAGCTCGAGGCAGAAATGCTTTCGACAATCCGGATTCCTGCGGTTGTACTCCAGCTTAATTCTGTCTTTAGTGGGATTATTCCTCGTCATTAACATAAGTAAAATGCTTCATAGTCTCCAAAGTGCTTGGCCATATTTAGCGGGCAGTATTGTCATTCTGGTGGTTCGAGTGAAAGGATTTATGGATAGCCAGGAGATCGTAGAGCTATTGAATCAAATGCTTGAAGTGCTGAGGCAGGTGAAAGTGATGGCCAGGCATTCGAATATCTTTCGCCTGGGTCACCTTATACTTCTTCTCTTGACTTTACAAAATCTTCTAAGATCCTTAAACATAGTGGTGGGTATAAGTAGCCGTTCCGGAGAAGCTTACGACACACTGGCCAATAGTATTGTACTACTGATTCTTCTGGGAGTTCTGCTGAGCTTTCTTCTCCAGATTACCATCAACATTTGTCTTTTCGTGGTACTCATTGCCTGCTATAATGAACTGCATCGATGCACTCAACGAGTCTCCAAAGATATGGATAAACTAAGACAATCCCAGGTCCTTGAGAGTGGGCAATTTCTGGTTTTGGTAAAACAATTACAAGGAATCACTGAGAGGTTGATTCGTCTACGTTCAAGTGTTTTTCATCTGAAACTTCAAATCATTCAGCACTTTCGGTTCCATTGGCTAAGTGCTCTTATCTACGGACTGATACCTTTTTTATGTTTTACGGCCATTGATCGAAATAGTTTTTATTACCTGACTATTTCTGCATTGAACTTAATATTTCAGTGTACCATTTTTGAGTTACTGTCATGTGAATCAAGGATTACTAGAAGCTTTAGCAGCTTTCACTTGATCAACTGTCACAAGGAAATTGAAAGAACTGTAAGTAGATGTAAATTATCAAATATATTTAGTTTAAAATGATTTTCTCTGAGTACAGATTGATGTCCTGCTCCACCAGGAAATCAAGGAACGCATCAGGGTCACCATATATGGCATTACGCTGGACACGAGACTCCTCTTGAAACTGCTGTCCATTAGTGCTTTCTGTGCTCTTGTTAACCGGCAGGGATACCTGCACCTCCACCGTCCTTAATAGATCCTGTCATTTAACTGTCAAATTAAAGTCGAGGTCCTTGTCTCAATTTCGATACTGTCGCTTTGTCTATTATTAGCATTCTGGGTTGTCATGTTATCGCAACTGTTGTGCGGCAATGTCAATTGCAGAAGTCAAAAACTGCCTCATAGATGCCTTTCGAGATACTTTGCCGGCAATTACGTAGTCGTTTCATTGTTCCTCCTCCAGCTCGAACAAGCTTCATAATATTTTCACTTTTATGGCCGGCAACATAAAAGACGGCACTGGCAATAGCAAAAACATCATCATTATCAACACCATCAAAGCCCGGAAAATTCCACCTTCTGTGACTCGTCCCCAGCCTCCAACCACTTTTTGCCTCTGGTCCCCCCTTCAATTGTCGTAAAATCATAGGAAAAAAAGAAATGGAGGCAACAGAGGCGAAAGTGTGAGTGCGTAAATTTCTCTCTGGACTTGGAGTCGCTCAAGTGTCCTTCCATTCTGTGTCATAAAATTAACGCTTTATATGAACGAAAGCATAAGGCGCTCGATTTTTATCACCAAGGCCAACAAGAAGGCCCTGAACGAATCCGGACCAAGGAACTACAGAGGGAAAAAATTTAGTTATAGGTAAGACATATCGACTTGGAGGTAATTAAAAGCTTGATAATTCGTTTAACCAGATTAATAACAATAAAATTAACTTTTCTTTACAAATTAATAATGTGATAATGCATAAAAAATGTAATAGAGTGCTGGGAATTGATTAAATTTTTAAAAAATTAGAAGATAATGTATAGTAGTAAATATTTTTGAAGAATATGGACAAATGTACAGTGTTAGGTTGCCAACAAAAAATATTCATGGACGATACTGATCTGCTATAAATAAATATTTGTTTTCATACACAAACATTTTATAAGAAATCTTTTGAGATTGGAAGATAATACCTGGTCAATACTGGTTTCTAATTTATTTTAATACCACCTTATTATTGATATTTTCTCGCTGTGCAGCAGCTTGAATAGAACCTTACGAGAGCATAAAAAGTTTAGAGTTGAATTAGAAGGACAAGGAACTGGTCTAAGGGGCGTTGGGTGCTTGAAGAGATGGCCCAACAACGAGTGTCTAATTATTTACGTGCAATGAAAGTTATGAATTGGGGCCAGGCCACGGCTGGGTAATTCAAGGCGAAGGCAAGTAAATACCCCCCGAAAAGCCCTGTGCCTTTGCTGTCTGGAAAGGGGAGACAGTCTGGTTCCGTAGCCAGGCCCTAGTACACATTCTCGTGTTGAGTCTATGTGTGAAACCGTTTTTCCACCTGCTCTGAAATTCAATAGCGTCCAGTGGTTATAAATTCGACTCAGTATACTAGACAATTCACCGAAAATAACCTCTAAAATGCTGACGGCCCAGCAGACCGAATTTAAGATGATGGACTGTGGCACCGAGACGCTGACCGATTCCCGTTCGAGTTCCAGCCAGGATCTGAAAACGCTTTCGGAGATGGATCTGCGTAAGCCCCTCAAGGGGTTCGTCGATATGCGCTTGAAACATCCCCTAGAGAACACCTGGACGCTCTGGTATCTGGAGAACGATCGCACCAAGTCCTGGGAGGACATGCAGAACGAGATCACTAGCTTCGACATGGTCGAGGACTTTTGGAGCCTGTACAATCACATCAAGCCACCATCGGAGATTCGAATCGGCAGTGATTATTCGTTGTTCAAGAAGGGCATACAGTGAGTGGAGGTTTAATTAGACGCTATAGATACTATTTGAAATATAATTTCATGGAAAAATTATTGTATCTTTCCAATTACCCAAAAATCTCTAAAAATACTGTAGCTCTCAAAGGACTTCCTTTCGATCTTTCTTTCTCTTTCAGACCGATGTGGGAGGATGATGCAAACAAGTACGGCGGCCGCTGGGTCATCAATATGGGGCGTGGCTCCAAACTGGAGCTCGACAAGCTCTGGCTAGATGTGGTAAGTATCCTTGGGCTTTGTGTCCGTTGACTGTCACATCTGTTGCAACTGCACAACCTCTTTTCTGACCACTGACAGCTACTCATACTGATTGGCGAGGCCTTTGAGCACACTGAAGAAGTCTGCGGAGCTGTTATCAACTTGCGCGGAAAGAGCAACAAAATTTGTGAGTAGCACTATAAAAAATAGTTACAAATATCTTGATGGTCATTTAATCTATTAAAAATTATCACTTTCTAAATAGGCCCTAAAATCCTGTAAAGCATAAGATATACTTAAGTGTAGTTTGTAGTGTAGTTTATATTTATCTAAAATACCTCTATATTATAATTTAAAGTTTAAGGACAAGTTACTCATTATAAATTTCTGTTTTTTAGTTAACATTTTCTCTCCAAATGTAGATTAAATTTTTAAAAAATGTATCCAAGGAACTTCCTGACATAAAATTCCAACATGATTTTAAGCTAAGATATATAATTTTTGTATATTCTTTTTATCTCAGTAATGAGAAAAACATTGAAGTTCTAAAAAATGTTTTTATTGAAACAAGTTATAATCTTAATGGTTAATCCCATATTTTTTAAGTTACCTTACCAAATTTTTCTTAGTGTTCTGGGCTTAACTAGCCACTGAGCACCGCCATGACAACTTCTAACTCCGTTTCCCTGTTCCGCCAGCAATTTGGACCGCCAACGGGCACAACGAGCTGGCCGTCATGGAGATTGGACTCAAGCTACGCGACCTGCTCGTCCTGCCGCCCCACCAACTGCAGTACCAGCTGCACAAGGACTCGATGTCCAAGCAGGGATCGGTGGTCAAAGCGGTTTATTGCGTGTAAGCCGCCCCGGTTGTGGATGCACATGCAACACCACCTCCCATATTTCCATGGCCGCTTTCGCCGGCTGCTGTTTTCAGCGCGTGTATCCAAAAAAATGTAAAAAAAATGTATCGTGACACAGAACGGGTTTTATGAATTTGACAATGTTAAAAATTGCAAAGAAATCTGTAAATATATAGACTATACTACATGTGCGGTGTTGGTGCCACCCGTAAATGCCCGCGCTTTAAGGTCCCAAGGAGCTCTTTTTATGCCGCTAGCCGGGCCCTTTACGCTCCGCGAAATGTTATGCAAACATATGCCGCACCAGAGCGCAAATAAAATGGTTTATATACACTTGCAGTTTGTACTTTTGGCCGGGCCAACTAGAAGTGCACAGTGACTGCAAAAGATAAACGTCCACTTGGCTCGCTTGGCTGGTCGAGCGAAAAACAAAGGACCGAAAAGGGTCAACAATGGCCATGGCGGATTGTCCGTTTTAGCGGGGGCCGTAGTAGCCGGAGCCTGAGCTGGATCTCTGGGATCTCTGGTATCTGGAACTGGCGTCGAGGGCCCCGAAAGCGGAGACAATTGAATTTTGATGAAAGGCCGAAACGGCGGTGCCTCGCACAGCATTAAAATTCATGCTAAGTGCTTCGAGGTGCACGAAAGAGGGGCTCTTTATAAACTTGAACACGGGTAATTTGTGTGTAATGAATGTTTCTTAAGGGAAAAGGGATCTTAAAAGCAATTTTTTTCAATTACATAAACTATATCTTAAACTAACCTTAATTATAAAGGTCGAGCATAGCCTTTCTAGTAAAATAATTAATAACAAAAATCACAAATTGAATATAATCGGTTCCTGCTTATAAGAAATTACTTTAAAATATTTTTATAAATTATATTACATATATTTTAGACCTATATTTATATACCATTATTATTATATACCATATACCATATATAACAACTTAAAAATACTATTACTTGAGAAGTATTCCAAGTTAATATTAAAGCAGTGTCATCCTCCATTTTAAACGTCCATATATACGTAAAATTAATTTGGAATACTCCCCGACCCGGGTCAACAGGCCTTTCAATCAACATTCAAATTCCGATGGCTGCAGCACGTGCAGTTGCAACTTCATTATGAGCCACTTTAAGCTGACAAAACTCATCTCTATCCGCATAGCTCGTTGACTGCATTTTATGGGCCCAGGTGGCGGCGGCTTACATGGGGAGCTGTTAAACCGAAACCGCATCAAAACCGCACACGTCCCACATGGCATGCAGCTGCCTTCACCTGTATTTCAGCCCACCTTTTCACCTGCCCTTAACACCCACCCACCCAAACACCCACCTCGCGTTCTTGCACCTTTGACATATTGCAGGGATAGAATAGAGGTGGTTTGCTGCCGGAGGAGAGCCACACACAACACCGCAAACTTTTTGCCTTCAGACGAATATTTACAAATTAGTTGCTCGAAACGTGACATCGAGAATGTTGTTGCACCACTTGCAATCGGAGTCGCATGTGAAATATCTGGCTTTGGGCTGTGCCTTCCCCGAAATGCTGGTGAAAACTTTGGTAGCATGCAACTTAATTAGCACATAAATAAATTATGCTGCCATTAGATGCTTTTTGACACGTCTGGATAAGTTGGGTAACTGAAAAAAACAAGACGGGCTATATGTGATTAAGGATGGAAAAAATGTGTCTTACGTAATACTATTCTTTATCTGTGATCCTGGGAAGCCAAGATGTCTGGAGGAGATTTTATTATAATTTTTGTGTTTTTATTAAAACCAAGATATTAGGGATCAAATTATTATAACACAGTTTCTAAGATCTATCAATACTCATAATATATTGCTTTCTCATAAACCGTTTTCGTTGAAATTATCTAAATTGATTGTTTTGGTTGTGGCTCTTTCAGAAAATTGGCAGATTAAAATCTCAAATCGAATGATTTGTATTAGCTCTACTATAGACCAGCACCACCGCTTTTTTCTCTACCTCCGCGTTGGTCATGCATATATCAACACTTTTCATATAGCCAACGCAGACCACATTGAGCTCCAGCTTTGGTTTTTATGGCCACACCAGCTGGACAAGCACTATGGTTGGAGAACCCGGGAAATAAAGTCCCCTCTATCCATACACCCACCAACAAACTCTCCATTTCTGCTCAGCTTTTGTTTATTTTGTG